AGGCCTCTGCGTGGGCAGAGGTATCACTGCAAGTGTCCTTGCGGTTGTGCGTAGTTACATACATTCTTCCTCGCAGACCCACTGCACCCTGATGTTCCACCATGTCAGCAGCCTGCCAGATGGTGCCGTGGATGGTGAGGAGTAGAGCAAGAGCTGACCACCATAGGCCAGCTCCGCTACCAAATTTGAAATGCGTTGGGAGGCCCAACCAGCAGCTTCGCCTTAGGCGAAGCCCAGCCCCAGCTCTGTTGTAACGTAGTAACGATAGTCCCAGTAGTAGGAGATCGTCGCGGGAGCGACGAGCCATCTCAAGTAAATGATGTTTTGCTCTCGATGGCAAATGGTACGCCTCGCGCTGAGGTGTACTCAGATCTGGGCGGCCGGCCGCTTGAGCACAAACGGCCGCGGACACACGCTCGCTACCTCTTGCCTGTATCCCAGCTCACTTTAAAGTCAAGAGCCCTCCAAGACGGCCCAGGAGGCCTCGAAAAGGCCTCCCAAGAAGGCCCTAAGAGGCCAATATCATGAACTTCTGCAGGGAAGCGTGCGGTTCAGCATTTCAGAATTTCCAGCCTTCAAGACGGTCCAAGAGGCCCCCCAAACCGCCCCAAGACGGCCCAAGATGCTCCCAAAGTGGCGCCCAAATGGCCCAAGTGGCGCCCAAGAATGCTTAAGAAGGCCCCAGGACGGCCCCAAGAGGGGGACCACGAACCAAAAATTCTAGCCTTCCGCCCCAAGAGGCTCCCAGGAGGTCCCAACATGCCCCCAAGAGGCCCCAAGAGGCCCCCAAGAGGCCCAAAAGAGGCCCCAAGAGGCCCCAAAACGGCCCCCAAGAGCCATCGAAACTACCTCCAAGAGGCCAGCGAAAAGCCTCCCAAGAGATCCCAGCGAACGTCCACTAAGCCTCATACGCGCAACCCAGGCACGGTGGCAGGATGTGCCGAAGGCAACTAGACATTGCGGATGTTGACGTTAATGATTGTCCTGGAGCTGATGTTGATGATGCGGGCGGTGACCATGCCGAAGTTTATGTGTGATGTTGCTGACAGTGATGATGTGATATTCGTGATGCTGATGATGTCGACGTTCATGCCGTTGGTGCTGATGTTGTGACGGGGTTCGAATACATGATGCGCTAGGGGTCAGGATGACGTCAGTTCACAAAACAACTCCCCTAAACTGAGGACGGTTGTGATTTTGGTGTTGTTGGTGCTGGTGCTGATGATGAAAGCGTTGGCGAGTGTGTTGGTGTTCGGAAACCGTTGATGATGACGATGATGCTGATGCTGATGCTGATGCTGATGATGATGATGATGATGATGATGATGATAATGATGATGGGCGTGCAGGTAACAGGGTGCTGCCCCTCCCGCCGCAAGCTTCTGCTTGCGCGGAACTGGTACAATTGGATAGATCTGGTCATAGAACTGGTCCATTCAAAATAACGTCCGGCATAGAACTGGTCGGAATTCTCTAAAGAGAAATAATTTCGATGTCGAACATTGTTTTTTGGAAACGACCAGTTCTATGCCAGACCCTATTTCTAATGGACCAGTTCTATGACCAGCTCAATCCAGTTGTATCAGGTCCGCGCAAGCAGAGGCCTGCGGCGAGGGGGGCAGAGCCCTGTTACCTGCACACCCATGTAACCTGCACACCCACATGTACATCCACATCAACGAAACAACGAAACTCTTCTTACCCAGACGTCTTTCAAAGACAGGTTCATATAATTATGATATGTGAGCGCTATTTTAAACTGCGTGCGTTTCACGTGAGGCCCCGAACACGAATACGAGGGGAAGAGTGGGGAGGAGGACTGAAGAGTGCAGGAGCTTGGGGATGATAGCGTCGGACTCTGGAAGAGGGCGGAGGAGTGGAGTAGAGTCGACTGAAGTGGAGTGGGGGGTATCTTGCAGGAGTGAAAAAGGGCTCGACGGATAGGGAGGAACGAATCGGAGTGCGAAGGAGATGGACGGAGTGGGGAAGGACGGCAAAGTCTGGAGGTGTGCGGAGACGGGAGGAGGAGAGGGAAGGAGGGGTAGTGCTAGGGAGGCATGAAAGGGATTGGGAGTGAGGGCGGAGGTTTCTGCAACAGGCGGGAGTGGGGGAGGAGTGCGAAGGGGTCTGGAGGGGGAAAAAGGGGTGACTGGAGTGGGGGGGAGGTGGAGGTGGGAGGAGAGCGGCGAAGAGGGGGCTCGGGGGAGGGCGGAGGGCGGAAGATTGGAGGTTGGAGATGGAGAGGAGTGCGGAGGAGTTTGGAGGAGTGGGGCGGCACAGGGAGGGCCCGAGTGGGGTCGGGGGGGGCAGAGGAGAGGAGAAGAATGACAACGAGGGCGAATGATTCCTGGATAGCTGCTTGTGAGAGCTAAGAGGGTTGTTAGAGAAGAAGCCGGCCGGCAGGGCTACGCCAGCTCCTCTCCAGGGCTCCCGGGCAAGCATCCCCGCAGCGCCTTGCTTGAGGCCGCAGCATGTCCCGAGAAGCGTTTTCCTACTCGTTCCCAATACGCGTGCCCCGAAGCTTCTCCGCGAAGCGTCTCCGCGAAGCGTCTCCGCAGCGCTCCGGAAGGTCCTTTCTCGAGAGCTCGCGGGCTTCCCAGGCACGCCTTCAAGCGCTCCCTGAAGCGTCCCCCGCGAGCTCGGAAGATCTCCAAGCATCCTTTCCAGTGTTCCTCCCACTCCGTGTGGTGCCCTGCTATCCGGGTTTTGGACTACACAAGTTCCGGAGAAGTGCGGAGTAGGGGGGGGGAACGCGGGGGCGGATTGCAGGAGAAAGAGAATGAGTGGACAGGAGGGTGGAGGAAATGAAGGCGGGGTAGTCCGAAAGCGGAGGACGGAGTGAGGAGTGCAGAAAAGTGCGGAGGAGTGAGGAGTGATGGGGATGATGGTGATGATGCTGATGAAAAGTCCGCCACCGTGCCTCTGGGCACGGAGAGGGCGTGTCCTCAAGTCCTTTGCCTAACCCTCTCACCCGCCATCCTCACTCCTGAAGAATCTTGCAGGGGCCCGGACCCAAATTGCCAAATCTCCTGGGGCTTCTCGCGTGCCCGCTGGGCCCCGTCGCGTCTTCCCACGTGACCTTCTCGGGCCAAACGGGGTCCCAAGACGGGCCAAGAGGGTCCCAAGAGGCCCCCAAAACGGTCCAAGAAGGCCCCGGATCGCCGAACGATCGCTGCAAGATGCCCAAGACGGCCCCAAGACGGCCCGAAAGCCCTCCAAGACGGCCCAAGAGGCCTCGAAGAGGCCTCCCAAAAAGGCCCTAAGAGGCCAATGTCCTGAATTTCTGCAAGGAAACGTGCGCTTCAGCATTTCAGATTTTTCGGCCTTCAAGACGGTCCAAGAAGCCCCAAAAACCGCCCCAAGACGGCCTAAAATGCTCCCAAGAGGCTCCCAAAGTGGCGCCCAAATGGCCCAAGTGGCGCCCAAGACGGCCCAAGAAGGCCCCAAGACGGCCCCAAGAGGGGGACCACGAACCAAAAATTCTAGCCTTCCGCCCCAAGAGGCTCCCAGGAGGCCCCAACAGGCCCCAAGAGGCCCCCAAGAGGCCCCCAAGAGGCCCAAAAGAGGCCCCAAAAGGCACCCAAACAGCCCCCAAACTACGTCCAAGAGGCCCGCGAAAAACCTCCCAAGGGATCCCACCGAAGGTCCACTAAGCCTCGCGCGCGCAACCCAGGCACGGTGGCAGGATGTGCCGAAGGCAACTAGACATTGCGGATGTTGACGTTGATGATTGCCCTGAAGCTGACGTTGATGATGTGGGCGGTGATCATGCCGAAGTTTTTCTATGATGTTGTTGACAGTGACGATGTGATACTCGTGGTGCTGATGATGTCGACATTCATGCCGTTGGTGACGATGTTGTGACGGGGTTCGAATATATGCTGCGCTGGGGGTCAGGATGACGTCAGTGCACAAAACAACCCCCCTAAACTGACGACGGTGGTGGCTATGGTGTTGGTGTTGATGCTGATGATGAAAGTGTTGGCGATGGTGTTGGTGTTCGGAAACCGCTGTTGCTGATGATGATGATGATGAGGATGATGATGATGTGGCTGGATCGGGGCCATCTTCTTCCTTTGCGCGCAAACGGCGGAGGGCGACCACGAGCTCGAGGCGACAACAGGCGAAGCACAGACTCGGTGAAACGGAACAGTCTTGCGCTCAAGTTGGGCGGGGGGGGCGGGAAGAACTTGAGCAGAGGTGTTGCGGCCACGGTTGTCCCACAAACGAAGACGAATCGCTTTGCGTGGACGGATCGGGGCCATCTTCTTCCTTTTTGCGCAAATGGCGGAGGGCGGCCGCGAGCTCGAAGCGACCGCAGGTGAAGCACAGACTCGGTACCACACGTTAGTCCTGACACATGGCCACAGCCGAAACACGTACTACTTTCTTATATCTGGCGGCGCGGGGCAGCTGACGCGCGGCGACCACTATCATATCGGTGCCAGCGCTGGCCACTTCAGAGGGGGCCCCTTCGCCGAAGCTCGGGCGACGGCGCCCAGAGCTGGACGACCAAGGCCCGCCAAATGGCGACGCCTTGTGCGGTCGCGCAGGCCGCGGGGGCAGTGGCAGCGGCGCGCGAGGCGGTCGAGGTCCGCGACGTCCCAGCCTATCCGGGGATTCCACCGCCTGACTCGGCCAGAAAACATGCCGGAGTCGAGGGGGCAGGAGGAGGAGGAGGAGGAGGAGGAGAAGGAGGAGGAGGAGGAAGAGAGGAGAGGAGAGGGGACAAGAGGGGATGTTTTCATATCAAGCTGGCTTCAGGGCGCGCAGAAATGATCGGCACCCTGTGAGAAACCCACTCCGAGATGAGTCTGATAGTGGCAGCGGCAAGGGCGCTCGCAACGCGGATGGCCCGCCTGTCTGCCTCCGCGCCCGTGGCCCCCTCCAGCAGTGACTCGCGGCGGCGGACCTGAGCGGTCCGACCCTCCAAGTGGCGGAAGGAAGGGGGGCCCGCACTCCGAATGCCGCCGAAAAGCGGACCCAACCGATCAGCGTCATCAGTACCTGCGGATCACCGGCATCGTTCTGACGGCGCCGAGCAAGGTTGATGGCCACCGCCCCGAGCCCGCGGATTTCGCAAGCTCGGCGTGTGCGACCCGGCGTGCACGTGCACAATATGACATGGCACGGCGCGGTGGCAGCGCGCCGTCGAGCCCGCCCTCGCAGCCGCCTCGCGCGAAAGACCACTGGTCGGTCAGCACGGGCGCCGCCCGTGCTGGAGGCGGCGTGGTCGCGGGGAGGAGCGGCGGCAGCGGCGACGAGAAGATGCCCGTTCGTGCCTGCACCTCCATCAGGTTGAGGAAGTCCTGCTCGACCATGTCCCCGAAGTCCACGAGGGCTGGTGAGAGCTGACCCAAAAGCTGCTTCATCCGGGCGCGCGTTGCATATCTTTTCAACGATTGATGTGTCATCCATCGGCCTCGGTCTTCCACCTCCTTCATCGCCCGACGGCCCGAGAGGAGGTCGTCGGGCGCTCCCCCGCGGCGCAGCGAGCACGGCGAGGTCTGCTCGCCGTCGAGCTGGAGCTGAACCAGGGAATCCTCGAGCGCCCGGCGAACCTGGTCGGGGGGGAAGCTCCGCAGGCTGGCCTCGGGGCGGCGACCCTGCCGAAGGGCTTCGAGAAGATGCGGATCGTCGACGATCGCGCTCTCGTCCGTCGCCCCCGCCTTGCCGGGCCTGCCGCTCGCCGCGTCGCTGACGAAGATGGCCCAGTGCTGGTGGCCCTCCGTCGACCCGATCCGCGGCGCGATCAGCGAGGCGACGGCGAGGCGGCGCGCCCCGCTCGGGCGGAGGTAGGCGTCGAAGGCGAGCCTCGCGAAAGTGACCTCCGAGAGGCGCCCCTGGGCCGGCGGCGCGCCCGCGATCGCGAACATAGCGACGCGCGGCAATGGAAGGCGTGTCTGAGGTGGCGCGAGCTCGGCCCAGCCCTGGAAGGACCGAAACGCCCTGCGCAGCGGCCTGCCCCCCGCCAGCATCGAGGGGTGGTGGTGCTTGAGCGCGGCCATCGCCATGCGGCCCGTCGCGCTGTCGTAGCCGTCGATAAAGAAGTGGGCGAGGAGCACCGCCAGGACGACGTCGAGCTCGGAGCTGTTCTTGAAGCCCCTTTGTGGCCCACAGGCACCAGCTCAGAAACTTCCGGGCGCAAGCATGGTAGTTCCTGCCCGTCGCCGCCGAGACGGCGGAGTCCCCCAGCACCGACGGGCTGCCGCGCAGGAGGCTGGCGGGCCCAGGATGGACCGTTTGCGCCCTCGTCGCCTTGGTCACCTCGCTCGGGGCGCCGCGGCCGACGCGCGACCTGGTCCGAGGCGAAGCCCTCGAAACATGGGCCGAATGCATGCATGTCATATATGCTATGTTATGTATGTTATGTATGTATGCATGTATGTTTGCATGTATGTATGTATGTAGGTCGGTATGTATGTGTGCATGTATGCATGTATGCATGTATGTATGTATGTATGTATGTATGTATGTATGTGTATGTGTGTGTATGTTTGTGTGTGTGTTTGTGTGTGTGTGTTTGTGTGTGCGTGTGTGTGTGTGGGGGGGAGGAGAAGAGGCCTTGCCGTCGGGGGGGGGGGCTCGTCCAGGGGGGGGCCCTGCAGTCCAGGGATGGGGTCGCGCTTCCCTGGGGGGGGGGGGGGCGTTGGGGGGGAATGCCCTGATCTGCGCGGAAGGTCTGCTGTTTTGTCGGGGGGGGCAACCCTTCGTGTCCGAGGGGGGGGGAAGGGGGGGGGGCTGTAATCCGGTAGTCCGGCAGGGGGGGGGGGCCCTGTAGTCTGGGGGACGGGGGGGGGGGGGGGGGGGCGACCTGGCTGTCTGGGGGGGGGGGGGGCCGTGTTGTCCTGTGGTGGGATGCGCTGATCTGCGTGGAGAGACTCAGGGACCTCCAGGAACCCAGGACAGCCCGCTGACGATGATGGCGTAGACAGCGGTGGCGTGGCGGTATGACGAGTATCAGCAACATCGGGATGGGGGCCATCAGCCTCGAAATCATGGGACCTGGTGAACACGCTGGACCCCTGGTACCTCCACTTATCAGCGACGCCGAAGCTAGCTCAGGGAGGGCAACCTTGACGCACGCCCCCTTCCCGAACGGTGAAGCGTCCGAAGCATGGGCCCGCGAGTGCCACCGAGATCTCGTAGAGGCACTCCAAAGCGGGATCAGGGCGACCGCGGCCCTCAGCTCCCTGATAACTGACTCACACAGAGGCCCAGGTTGAGGCCCCACGGAACCGATGAACCGATGGACGGCATTGAAGATGGCCAGGGCGCCCCGTCTCAGGCCCACCCCGCACGCGCAGCGTCCGACCAACGCGCTGAAGGCCCCAGAAGAGGCCCGCCCACGTCGAAGAAGCCCAAGAACAGCTTGGCGGGCGCGGGCAAGCCGATCAGGACGCACGCGGATAAGCCCAGGCAGCCCGTCGATCTGTAACCCTGTAAAGACCCCCATTGCTGACGGCGGGCGAGAAGTCGAGGGCGGGCAGGCCGCGAGCCGCGAGAAGGTCGGCGACGGCGCGGGCACGGGGCGCGGCAATCTCAGGGCTCTTAGACACAACACAGAAATTGTCGACACATCCTGCGCACAGCGCGTCTGTCGGGGGAACCAGCGGGCGAGGGCTGCCACCATCCAAAATCATCTCGCAATCCTGGAAACCAACGTCGGAGAGGGCTCTAGTTAAGGCACTCTGACCAAAATGAAGCGTCCAGCTCCACCCCATGGGAACCACAGTAACCAAAGGCTGGACGAAGTCGTTGATACCGATGGGGGCTCCGTTGATGGATTTGAAACCGATGCATCTATGGGAGATCGCGGGCAGCGGAAACAGCGACTCCATCCCTGCGGGCAAGCGTAAATGACAGAAAGCGCACTGAATGTCGCCCTGAGCGAACGCAAAGCTGCCGTCGCAATCGGCGCTAGCCCGCGCGCCGGGCGTGGGAAGCCTGGTGGCTGGCGGCGCCGCAAAGCTACAGTTGGCCAGCCGAGTGTCGAACGCGAGCCTGAGCATGTGGTTGGACTTTTCCACGAGGAATAAACCGATTGTAAAAAAAAGCCCGGGGGCAGGATACCTGCCAGGACGTCGCGTCGCTGGCCTCCAGCTGCTTCAAAAACTGGGCGCACGGCTTCGGCCGATGGCGAAGCTCTGGGTCCACGCGCGGGCGCAGAACCCCCAGCGACCCCCGAAGCTCCGCCGCGACCGACTCGGGATCCAGCATGCTCTGCCCCCAGCCCTGCAGCACGATGGAGTCGGCCTCGGAGACGACGTCGGCGGTGGAGACTGCCTTCGTCGACTTGGGCCAGGCCACAAGTGACTTGCTGCAGGGGCGCCCCCGGCCGCTGTCGCCAGCGCAGCCAGGTGCCTGGGCGAGCATCTACGAGGGGCGCTTCGCAAGCGCCGCCCCTCTCCGAGCGGGCGGCGGGCAGCTCAAACTCGCGGTGCTGGCTGGCAAGGTGCTCCACAGAGGCCGCCTGCACCGCGGGCGCGCGCGCGCCCTCCCTGGGCGCGCTCTGCTCGTCCTTGCCGCAGTGGAGCCAGTTAAGAGCGGACAACCCCTCGTTGCACCACTCCCCCCAGCCCGCGCCCGCGGCGGCACGCAGACGAGCGGCGCGTCCGAGGGGCTGGCGGCGACGCCCATCCACGGGAAGAAGGGGCAGAGGAAAAACGTCGCGCTGCCGACGGTCGCCACGTCTGGGCGACTCTAGACCAGGCGGAGCCCTGAAGGGCTCTGGGCATGACTGACCAGCCTCTCGAGCAAGAACAGCGTGCTGGCGAGGCCCATCGTGGTCAGCGTCCTCGGGGTGCGCCATGGCGCCCGCAAGGCTCGCTCCTCGCGAGCCTTGCGTCGTTCCTTCGCCACTGCCGCCTCGTTCTTCATCTGATCCGCGATCCAGCCCATCATGGCAAGGCTGATGCGCAGTTCGCCCTTCGTCTCATCAGTGTCATCAGTGCCGAGGAAGTTCCCGACCTCTGCGGGGAAGTCGGTCAGGCTGGCCTCCTTCGCCAGCGCCTTCGCCTTAGGCGCTGGCTGCGTCCTCCGCGCGCGCTCCTCGCAAACCCCCTCCTCGACCAGTTGCAGCTGGTGGGCCAGGTACTCGAAGGAGGCCAGCTCACATATCACGATCTGATCGCGGCATAGCGCGGTCTCGATCACGCGGCACATGGTCTCATGGAGCTCGACGTGCTCGTCGTGCTCGCCGAGCTGCATCATCGCCAACCAGCGCGCGCCAGGCCATGGAGCCGCCCGCCATGCGCTGCGTGAAGCCGAGGATCCAGAGCATGGGCCTGGGCCGTTTCACGGGCCAGTCAGCACGCACCGTCTCGGCCCAGTGCTTGAGCGCGTCGCCGAAGCTCAGGTCGCGGAGGCCCCGCCCGTCGAGCACGAGAGCCATCGCCCGCGGGTCGCCGACGGCTGCCGCCGCCGCGGGGGGGGCGAGGGCCCCGCCAACGCCTGCGGGGGCCGCCGCGGCCGCCGCGGGCGCGGGGGCCCCGCCCCCGAGCGCGGCGGCCAGCGCGCCAAGGCCCCCACCGACTGGAGGAGCGGCGGCGGCGGGGGGCGCGGCCGGCGCGGGCAGCGCGGCGGGGGCGGGAGCTGCGGCCAGCGGGTCGGGCAGGCCGAATCCCTGCCGCCGCGCCCAGGACGCGGGTGGCGCTGAGCTCCAGGTTGAAGGGCGCGGCGGGGAGGGGGCCGTGCCCTTGGGCGACTCCTCGTCGAAGAGCTGCCCATGCATCTGCCGCGCGAGGGGGCTCCCGAAACTGATAGAGGTAGTTGGGGGGAACTCCAGGAAGCCCCTCGCCTTGCCCTACGAGAAGGCGCACTGAGCGGAGGCCCCCGCCTGCGATGCCGCTCTCAAGGTAGTCGTGGCCATCGGGCGTTAGTATGTAGCCAGGCAACAGAGTCAATAGATGGCAGGCCCACCGATATTGCATCGGACGAGGTGGGACTGGCCAGGCAGAGGCCCCGCCGCGATGACAATCAGCGGCGGGAGCTCCGAGCCTGCGCGGCCGCTGTCGATGCAAGGTCGAGAATGGCGATGGGCGCCTCCCCTGCGGACGGGCTCGACGAGTCGTGCGCCCAGGCACCTTGGCGGCCGAAGTCGGCGACTTGTTGAAATAAATTCCGCCCGCGAGGACACCGCGCGAGAAGGCCAGCAGCACCGGCGCCGCCGGGAGCTCCGTCGACCACCCCGCGGCCACGCTAGGCGCGATCTGCCCCTCGCCGCCAGGGCAGTGGCACTCGAGCGCAGGGCAATGCAGCGCGGGCGGGCGCGCGCAATCTGGGCACGGAGACGAACTCCCCCGCGCAGTGATCGCAGTAGTGACCGCACTGGTGGTCTTGGGCGAGGCGCCCAAACAGGGCCTGCATTGCATGCCCTCAAGAACTTGAGCAGAGGTGTTGCGGCCACGGTTGTTGCACAAATGCCGACAACTCGATGTATGCTGATGATGAGAATGAGGATGAGGATGAGGATGAGGATGATGATGATGATGATGATGATGGGTGTGCAGGTAACAGGGCGCTGCCCCTCCCGCCGCGGGCCTCTACTTGCGCGGAACTGATGCAACTGGATATAACTGGTCGTAGAACGGGTCATATAACTGGTCCATTTTTTTTTTTGATTTTTTCTTTTTTTTATATAAAAAAAGAAAGGTCCGGCATAGAACTGGTCGAAATTCTAAAGAAGGAATTTGAATGTCTAGAATTCTTTCTTTTTTTCCGCAGAAAGGGCTGAGGCCCAAGGTTCTCGTTTGGTGGGTTCACCCCCGGGTCTGACTTGAGGTGGGCCGGCGAAGTTCTTTTGCGATAAATATCGAGGTCGAGGCGTGCCAGCGAAATAAAATATGAGGATGTCTCGAGCGAGACGCTTGTTTTCAGAATTTATCGAAGATGTCTCGAGCGAAACGCATGCATTGCGTTGTAGATTGTCCTCACCTGGGGACCAGAATTCAGAAGCTCTCTGAAGTGAAATGCTCGTTTTCCTGAGCGCACTTTTTCTGCCAGTGCACGAAGAGATTGAGCTCGCCAGGGCCCTGCCGTCGTGGCAGGCCGCCCCGTTCGCAGCGCGCTCAAGCCACTCGACGGCGACCGCCATCAAGTGAAACACAATAACCTCTCGAAGAAAGAAGGGTGGAGGAGAGGGGGAGGCGGAAGACTTGACAAACCCATGCGGCGGCGGCCCAAACAGAGTTTCGGAAACTCGTGAGTTCACGACAATCCTGAGCGCACTTTCTATGCCAGTGCACGAAGAGATTGAGCTCGCCAGGATCCTGCCATCGGGGCAGGCCGCCCCGTTCGCAACACGTTCAAGCCACTCGATGGCGACCGCCATCAAGTGAAACAAAATCACCAAAGATGCTCACGATTTTGCAAAGCAAGCTGGCCACGCCGGAAAAGGAGAGGCACGCTAACTGAATGATTTCTGAATGACTTCAGGCGAGGCCCGGACCTTAGCAGTCTGGAAGAGACGCGCGAGCGCTACGCAAAACTTGCGAAGACACTCGGCCCCTTGCCGTGTTTTGAAACCGCACTGGGGCAATCAACCCTGGAGCTGTCGGCGGGGCCGATGGGTGCGATAACAAATCCAACGTCTGGGGCCGATGCACCGAGAATCCCACAGCGCCCAGGGTCGAGGTCGCCGAACATCAACCCCGACTTTTTTGCACGGGGCGCCCCGTTGACGCATGGAAGTAATATGAAAGGCCACGGCACGTCGGGGGGCCAAAGCTATAAAACTGGAAGCAACCACAACCTGGACGTCTTAAGGTTCTCAACGCTCCACGGGATCTTATGAGTTAGGCTAACGCAAGCTAGAGTAGCGATGAAGCTGTTGAGGATATTGGACACGTCAACGATCGCTTGCACATGAGGCTTGAGGTTGGGGAGGCCAAAGAGGTGGAGGTCGGAACGAACAGGAGGGGCCCCGACACCATGGTCGTGGCACCTGGTCCGAGCGTTGCAAGGAACGCCAGCATGCCAGCCTATGATGCGACCAGCACGTATCCAAGACAAGACGAGCGAGCGGTTGCAAGGCCGGGACAGGTCATGCTCTTCCCCCAGCGACGTGTCCCACAAAAGCACCGGCATGCCTCGCTGAGCCACAGCTCTAGTGAGACCACCTGTTCCCGAGAAAAAATCTAAAATCACAAGCGGGCAAGGCAAACGGGCGCTACTGGCGAGGGCAGGCAGTGGCATGACTGGCTCAGACTCACGGCGCACGCCCTGGCGTGCTGGCGCTGCACGGCGGGCAGCAGGTGCAGCAACTCGGCGGGCCGCCCGCCCATCTCGCACCTTCTGACCGAGCTCCGCGACTTCCAGTAGCCCTGGCGCCCAATGTGCTCGAGGTCCCTCAGTGAGGCTGCGTAGTCGAGGCTTCGGCCCGAGTGGCACAGCTGGCAGACGTGGCTGGACCCGAGCTTCGCCAGGCCGAGCGCCATCGCCGCCTTGCGCCAGGCCTCCGCCACGGCGCGCTGGCTGACGGCGAAGAGAGGCGCGGCAGCAGGGGGCACCGCGCGGCACCGCGCCGCCGCCATCACCAGCAGCCCCCCGGCGAGGCCCGCCCGCCTGTCGAGGGGCAGCCGCGCCGAGGCGTCGAACTCGCCTGGCTTCGAGATGTCGCCGACGTCGCGCGCGCGGAGCGGCGCCGACACGCAGCGATGGGCTCCTGAGGCAGCCGCCGACGCCAGCATCGCGCCCTGAAGCTGCAGCCCGTGAACCTCGCCTGGGCGGCCGTGGATCTCGAGGAGGACCCCGATCGCCGTAGACGGAGCGCTCGAGCCCGGGCCGCTCTCCGACGAAACCCGGAGGACAGGCCAATCCACCGGGTGGCCGCCAGGCCCAGGCGCCGCGCGCGCCAGCGACGCCGCTGCCGGGGGCACGTCCGAGGCTGCCGCAGGTCGCGCGCGCGGAGAGCCCAGGAGGAGCGCCGAGCTCAACACTGGGAAGCGCGAGAGCGCGGCTGCGAAGAGCGCGAGCCACAACATATGGAAAGATACGGATCGTTCTCGGGCCTCGAGGCGGCCGAGGGCGGACGCGGCGACGACGCCCCAAGACCCCCGCATGATGGCCGTCATCGGGGCCGCAGCGCTCTAGGTGCTCCTCCTCCTCCACCGTGCCATGGTGCTCGTAGCGTGGTGTCTGACCACGTGCGTGATGATGTGCTTCTCGTCCGTGCAGGTCATGGCCGTGCTCATGTCCGCGCAGGCCCCCGCCGCCCTCGCGCGCGTGCTGACGTCTATGTCCGTGCGGGACGACAACCTTGTCAACGACGAGGGGGTCCTGGAGGCTCTCGGGCAGGGAGGACTTGCTGGGACCTTCCTTGAACACACTAGGCGACGGCAGGCTGGGATCTCCTCGGCCTCTCGACGGGCCATCAGCCACATTGTACTCCGACGGGATCCAACGTGTACAACAAGAACTCCCCGAAGCCAATGAGAGGGCGCCGATGCGACGCATGATAGACAGCATGGCGCGAGTGCGAGCTCGCATCCTGGAGGCAGCCGCGACAGACGCCAGCGACTCCCCCGAAACGAATAGCCTTTTTACCATGATTCCGAGATGCCCGCAGGGCATGCCGAACATGATAGAGAACAGCATGGGCCTCAAGCGCAGGCGCCCCTTCAAGACGATCCCACTTTCGGCGACCTGTGATGCGACATGGCAATGTTCCACTTGTTTCTTGAGAACCCCAGGAAAAAGCCAGGAGGTCACGCTCCACATGCGGGCCGACGGCCTGGCTGTCGCCTGACTGACAGGCGGGCGGAGGCAAGACCGCCTCGAGCCCCGGGCCGCAGGCTGCGACCGCGTCGGCGGCAGACTCCGCAGAGTGAACGCGAAGTCGAGGAGGCGAGCGCTCAGCCCTGCCATAGCGCCACCTTTCACTATGACGCCCGACCTCCCGAACAGCGGCCACCTCCCACTCGGCGTCGCAGGCGCCCAGCCCCCGCGGGGAGGCGCCAACGCAGCCGACCGAAGGCGACCACTGAGCATGGAGATCGCGCCACAATAAGGGGGCAACGCCATCCCAGGCCATGAGCCCCTGCCTGACCCGAGACCAGAGGGGCACCTCCCGGTGGTCGCACTCCTGCACGAAGCGGAAGCGCGACTCGAGAATGCTAAACCCCTCGCGGCGCGCGAGGGCGACGAAGATGATGTGGCCCAGCACCCGCTCGATGTCCTGGCCTGGCGCACGACCTCGCCGTAGGAGACCTCGGACAGCCAGACGAAATCGCCAGAGCCTGGACGAAGAAGCAGAGAGGCGGCCCGAACTTGTGATCGACCACCCCAGCACAGCATACTCGCCCTCGTTGTCACCGAGGTGCGCCTCATGCGTGACGACCAAGCCCCTGCGCCTGAGCTCCTTCATGACGTTGGAGAACGCCGTCCTGGCAGCCGTCGCGTCGTAGCCGATGCTCACGAAGTTGTCGACGTACTCGAGGTGGCGCGCGGGGTTCAGCGCCGGGGCAAGCCGCCCATCGCGAAGTCGCGTGGCGTCATCGCACCCTGCAGCTTCGGCAACGCGCTCCGTCACCGACTGGCACCACCACATGGCCGACGACCAGCCCATGGGGGCCACCCTCAAGCGCGGGAAGAGTTTGGTGGGCGGCCGCGCACTCTTGCCGCCGGCACCAGCGCGAACTGGCCCGAGGGTGAAGTAAGAGCGCAGCTCCTCCGGCAGCTCCAAGTGGTAGAGGGCATCCTTCAGGTCGGCGCCCTCCACTGTGAGCAGGGCGTCGTCGTCAGCCATCTCCAGGGGCCCGAAGGCATCGCCGATGGCCAGGCGGACGCCCAGCGGCTCGGCGAAAACCTCGTTGGAACGCCGGCAGTTGGCAACCATGCGGAGCCGACCACCTTTCTTCTTGACGAAAAAGATCTCGGCCCTAACGCCATCCCCCAAGTGGAAGTCGACAAGATGCCGCTCATGTAAGAATTGAACAAAAACTGGACCAGCGCCGCTGATCACGTAGAAGAGGATCAGAATAGGGCACAGACGCTGAACTGCGTTGCAAACGGGCAGCCGCCTCGCTCGGATCGATCACGCTCTGTTGAACGAGCTGTTCGCCCTCGGCTTGCCCGCCCTCCCCCCGCGCGTCGGCCAGCGGCACGGGGGCGGAACTGACGTCCGGCAAGGATCCAGGAGCGCGGGGTCGTAGCTCCCGAGGGGCGACTGCTCGACGGCGCAGGCGCCCCTGGCCACGCGAAGCTGCGCCAGCGCTTCTGCGGGGGTAAGAGAAGAAGGCGGAGCACCGAGATACCGAACCGACTCCTCGATGTGAGCGAGGCGCGAACTCCGAGCAAGCGACGGGCCCACGCATCTTGCAATGCGGCCAAGACCACACGTCAACGATGGATCATGAAGCCAATTCAAAGCGTCCACGGCGCGGAGCACATCGTTGCAGACACATCCGCGCCCCTCTGGCGAGCGAAGCAGCAGCAGCCTTATCCAGAGACTCGGCGGCGAGCGGGCACGGCAGAGGGAAGATGCCCCGGGGCCGGCGTCTCCCAACATCGTGGACACAGCGTGGACCCTGTCGGAGGTGTTCTGGTCGCGCCTTGGCCCCCCCCCCAAAGCCAAGGCGAGTGGATCAATCATCCCTGCGCCTGGAATCCCGCCCCTCACGGGCCAGGCGCAGATTCTCGCGCAACTTCGCCTCATTCTCGCCGTCGCCACGCACGTGCTCGAGCATGCCAGGCGAGACCATCGCCCAAGACGTAGATCGGGATACCCACGAGAACACGGCCTGCTCCTCCAGACTCATCTTGCCTCCAACGCCCTTGCCCTCGGCGTCGTTGGCCTAGTCCCAGTGAACGAAATCACTGGTCCGGGGCTTCCTGAACCTCATGCGGGCGCTGATCAAGTTCGTGCCCTTGAGGAGGTCCTGGCACGTGGCGCCCTCGATCTGGCGGCGCAGCGGGTAGTGCTCTCGGACCGCCCCCTCGGTGGCGCCCCGCTTGCAGATCTGCTCGTGGTGGCCCTCGATGGCAGGGCGCTCGCGCTGCAGGCAGCTCGTGCACCATGCGGCGGCCCGCGGCCCCGGCAGCGCGCAGTCCGATCCGAGAACCTCCTGGCGCGCCATCTCCGCCATCTCTTGCCACGGCACGCCTCGGCGGCCCTGCGCCGCGCGAGCGACTGGCGGGCTCCTCGCCCCCGCGTCGACCGCCACGCGCAGGAATGGCTCCAGCGCCGCAGGCGGCGCCAGGTCGACGGCAGGGCCCTGGCCGTCGGGCAGCAGGTGGATGTCCTTGTCGACGACGCGGGCCGCCGTCGGAACGCGCCAGGGCACCTCGTCGCCGACGGGGCGGCCAACCCCGCAAGCCGCGACGCGCCACCGCCCCGCCGCGTCGCCAGCGGCGGGGCCGCCTCCAGCGGGCACAGCGCCCCTCCGCAAGCCCAGCGCGGGACCGGCTGGAGCCGCAGGCGCCGCCGCGAGGCCGCCCCCAGGCGCCGCCAGCGACCGCAAGAAGGAGAGCATGCCCAGGTCGCCAACTGCCTGAGCCCCACGACGGCACTCGGCCGTCGCTCCCTGCTCGGCCCCCCGCGACAGCAGCGCCAATTCGCCGTCCGTGGGCTCGAAGCAGAACCTGTACATCTGGATGGCCGCACTGCCGGGCGGCGGAGGATCGAAGCTGCCGAACCTCACCGCCTCCACATCTTGATTGTCGACGAGGGCGTCGATGTACCGATCGCCACCAGCAGCATAGATGACGCGGCCAGCTTCCGACAACGCCGCCTGGCCCAGGTTCAAGCGCCAGTGCAAAAGCACCACGCCCGCGTAGAAGACACACGCCCATCGTCTCGTCGCGACTGCCGCCATCGTCCGCACCAGCAAAGCCGCGGCTACGCGGGCGCGCGCCCCTCCTGAGCGCCGCGCAGCAGCACCCAAGGCAGGCCACCGCGAACACGAAGCCGACCGCGCCGCCCACCAGCCCTGAGGCCAGGGCCCGCGCGTCGACCACCGCGTCGGCGAGCGCGTTGCCCCCTGCGCTCGCAGGAGCGGTCTCTAGCGCGGCCGAGCCCGGCGAGGGGCCGCGCACGGGGCGCGCGCAGGGCAGGCGCGCGCCGGGCAAGGGGCAGCCGCCGGGCAGCTCAGGGGCGCCGCCTCCACACACGGTGGGATGGCTGGGCACTGCAGCGAGCAGCTCGGGCAGGCGGCCGGCGTGCCGCACGCCAGGTTGCAGGTGGGACACGGAATGGGAATGAGAATGGGACGCTCGCGCGGGCAATCGCCCGGGCCCCTCAAGGGCGGAGCGGGTGGGGCCGTGGCCTCGCAGATATGGCCGGCTAGCTGGAAGCTTACTCAAGCGGCCGGCGCCGCAGAAGTATCAGGAGTGGAACACGTGACAAATTGCGCCCCCAGTTTAGTCCAAGTTGCATCGTCGGTCGCCAGTTGAAGCCAATCGATGTTGTTCACGTCGCAACTGCTCCGGGCGGGTCTCTCTTGCGCGCCGTGGGATGCGAGAAAATCAAGCACGTCATCATCCCATCGATTCTGCTGTCCTCCGGAATTCCTGTTGCCTTTTTGAAAAGCATGGAGGCTCGGGCGCCAGTTGACCACGCATTGAAACCATTATCGAGGGGACTGCTTCGCCACTCTCGCGGCACATCTCCACACCAATCGCCGTTGCCTCGTCTCCCAATCGATCACGCTGTGCTTGTGCATGAGGCTGTCTGCTTGTCTTGTCGTGCGCTTGATGCATTCGACCCGCGACTCCAGGACAATGCTCTCCGGTGCGACGTTCTCCTCGTTGTCGGCGCTGGGGATGTTAGCCGTGCTGTTATCTGCGTTTGGGTGGGTAGATGACGGTCGGTTGCGGTTTGCTTTTCCGTGCGTGTCGTCTTCGTGGGTATGCGGTTCTGAGGTCGCTTGAAACGCGCGTTGGTTGGTCGCACCGGATATCGGTCTCGTGTTGGCGGTGTTGCGCCGTCGTGGGGAGCCGACAATCATTCGTAACATGCGTCGTTGGGTGCATCGTAACTGTTGTTGTAAAGGCTCGGTCAGAGTCCAAGTGGCCGCCCCGCATAGCACCGTCGGTGTGACAGTGCCTTCGAAAAGCCGGAGTCGGCGCTTCAAGGGGTAATGCTTCGCTGTGGGTTCCTCTTTGTGAGCAGCGAAGGCTGCCCAGCCTGCCGCGATCCGGTGTTGCACTTCGGTGTGCATGGCGCCTTGGAAGCTGATCTGCTGCCCCAAGTACTTGACTGACCCACTGTGAAGTAAAATCTCGATTTCCATGCTGTTGATGCTCACCTTGCGCTGCCGTGCCCCCCCAGTCCTCTCAGTCAAATTCGTCAAGATCTTCGTCTTGTCCGGGTGGATGTGGAGGCCGCGTTGTTGTGCAGCTGTGGCCATGTGTTCAAGCATTGTCGCCAAGCGCGGCAAGGTGCGGCTCGTCAGAAGGATGTCGTCGGCAACGCGCAGGTTGGTGAGAGAACAATCTTTTATGCAGCCGAGTTGGATGCCTTGGTTGCGCTTTTTCCATATGTTGACACGTGGACGCATGATATGTTCAAGAAGCGAATTGAAAAGTAGTGAACTAAGGGGATCGCCCTGCTTTGCGCCCCTCTGCAGGTTGAGTGGGCGGCTGGTCGTGTCTGTCCGCGCCGTGGCTGTTTGGCCAGAATACATCTTCCGTAGTAGGTGCATGTAGTTTGGTGCGACACCTTGGCTCTTGAGTGCGGTCCAGAGGCTCTCGTGCTCGACCGCGTCGAAAGCCTTCTTGAAGTCCAGCGTCGCTATCCATAATGGTTGGTTCCATTCCCGAGTTCTCTCCCGAAGCATGTGGAAAGTGAAGAGGTGATCTTGCGTCGAACGTCCCGGGCGGAATCCTGCTTGGTCTGGGGGCTGTTGTTTGTCCAGGGGCGGCTGCAGTCTATTGTATAGAAGCTTGCTGAAAAGTTTGTAGAGCAGGGGGGCGGTGCAGATTGGCCTGTAGTTCTGAGGTTGCATGGGGCCACCTGCTTTTGGGATTACTGTGATGACTGTCTGTCGCCGACTCTGCGGAGTAGGCGCGTCGGCTTGCATGGCAGTGTTGTGTACTTGGAGTACGGCTCGTTTGAGTTCTACGGGGGAATGCTTTAACATGTCGGCTCTGATTCCGATCGTGTCGGGTGCTTTTCCCCGCTTGAAGTTGGACAATCCCCTGTTGAGCTCGTGGGTTGTAAAAAGCGGCACCGTGACGTCAGGAGGCTCAGGTGGTGAAGATTGTCGAGTGGAGTGGTACAACTGTTCGTAAAAATCTGCACAGACGTTCGCCATTGAGTCTCTGCTGGTATGCTTCCTGTCGTCCTTGCCGCGCATTTCCGTGATTAGTTTACGTTTCCGTCCAGATTTAATGGTCGCGATGCGCTTGATTCCGCGGTAGTCCTCGAGCATGGTGCCGAGACATCCCCGGGCCGAATTTTTTTTCCTCTTGGACAAAAAATATGAAACCATCCATGGATCCAATTGGATCCCTTTTTCGGGTGTAGGAGAGTTTCGTGAATCCTATTTCTGTGCTGCGCGGATTCAATTTCCTGTGTGTGAATCAAAAGATGGATCCATTTACTCCCCGGGAATAAATCTAGAAGAACCGCACGTGAACATCGTGCTATCCACGGAGCTGTGGATATGCAGACCAATTTTATGATTCTACGGGGGAGGGGGTCTTCCCAGGATGAAGAGGGGAAGGATGAGGGAAGAGGCAAGAGGAGGTGGGAGGAGAACAGAGGGGGCGCAGGGGGGGAGAGCGGAGAAAAAAACACTGCGGGCCTGGCCGACTCCCGCATCTCCAACCACAACAAATCTACCCCACCTCGAAGAGAGCGCTACATGTATCCGCTCACCTGAACGGCGCGTCGCTTCCGACATGTGGGGCTCAAGAGGAAAATATTCCGGCCTGCGGAAGTGGGATTTCGAACTGCGTATCCCCCTACGTAAGGGGTGCGAAATCCTTCATGGGATTTCGAACTGCGCATCCCCCTACGTAAGGGGTGCGAAATCCTTCAGTGGGATTTCGAACTGCGTCTCCCCCTACGTAAGGGATGCAAAATCCTTCATGGGATTTCGAACTGCGTATCCCCCTACGTAAGGGGTGCGAAATCCTTCATCCCCAGGCCGAAAGTTTTTCCTCTTGGATTAAAAAATATGAGAACATCCATGGATCCAATTGGATCCTTTTCTTCGGGTGTGGGAGAGTTTCGTGGATCCTACTTCTGCGCTGCGCGGATCCAATTTCCTGCGTGTGCAAAAAGACGATGGATCCATTTATTCCCCGGGAATAAATTTGCAATAATAATTCACATCCGGGACCCAGGGGAAATCGGATCCGCGGAGCACCGCACGTGAAGCATCATGTCATCCACGGAGCTGTGGATATGCAGACCAATGTTATGATTCTACGGGGGAGGGGGGCTTTCCCAGGATGAAGAGGGGAAGGGGGAGGGAAGAGGCAAGAGGAGGTGGGAGGAGAACAGAGGGGGCGCAGGGGGGAGAGAGGAGAAATGCACTGCGGGCCCGGCCGACTCCCGCATCTCCAACCACAACAAATCTACCCCACCTCGAAGAGAGCGTTACATGTATCCGCTCACCTGAACGGCGCGTCGCTTCCGACATGTGGGGCCCAAGAGGAAAATATTTTGGCCTGCGGAAGTGGGATTTCGAACTGCGTATCCCCCTACGTCAGGGGTGCGAAATCCTCCATGGGATTTCGAACTGCGCATCCCCCT